TGAATAATCCGTGTGCAAAGTGATTTTCACATTAAGATTAAAAATACTTTTCTTCATCTCAAAAATCTCAAATTTCATTTGTGTAATCTGTAAACCGTCCTAAATACATTTTAAATGTTTGTTTTAAGTAAAGCTTTGTTATTTTCTCTACCCTAACTAAACAAGGTTGGCCAATTTGACTGACCTCTCAAGTCCCCCCCCCCCCACCACACACACAAAATCGAAATAAATCTAAATTACCTTCCTCTTCTTTCAAGTTGGTTGTTTGGTGTTTAATGGCGCAAAGCAACGAGGCTATCTGCACCAAACAACTGGTAAAAACGGTGAAAGTAAATTAAAGTAAAATTTGAAAATACAGCAAGTTAAAACCAATATATGTTGATAAAAGATTTATATATATATAATTAAAAAGACCTATAGTGCGTAAAAAATTAAAAATACACTCGAATCGGACAGTGTCACCATTACCAATGACACTGTCCAATGTCAGGGGTAAACTCTTAGAAAACGTGTCTAAAATGGTGCCGCCGCTCACGGTCGTAACGACGGCACGACAGTAAAATGTGGGCTATTGTGACTTAAGTGGGTGGCAAAAATGCATGCAAACGATTTTGGAAAAAGAAAATTTAAAACTGTTTGCAGTGATCCATGTCAACAACTGATTGAGGGCAGTCTGAAACTGCCTCTCAATAAACCTCATGTTCGACACTCAAGACACAGCCCTGAGGGACTCCAAGTTCCTGTGGAAAGGAACGGGAAAGAGTTGAACCCACACAAACTTGGAAAACCAGTTCAGTAAAAAGTTTTGAATAAAAATGGGTAGATGGCCACGCAACCCATAGGAGTGGAGGTCCTGCAAAATTCCATACCTCCATGTGGTGTCATAAACCTTCTCGAAATCGAAGAACACAGAAACAAGGTGTTCTCTCTTGAGAAAGGCTTCCCTGATTGACGTTTCAAGTCGATTCAGATGGTCCATGGTGGAGTGCTGTCGACGGAACCCACACTGGGTGGGTGAGAGGAGCGTGTTCGAATCGAGGAACCAAACAAAATGAGCATTAACCATCCTCTGTAGAACCTTACAAAGACAACTAGTCAAAGCGATGGGATAATAATTAGAAGGAGTCTTGGGATCCTTCCCGGGTTTAAAGAAAGGGAGGACAATAGCTTGGCGCCAAGCATCAGGAAAAACATGCTCCTGCCAGATCCGGTTAAAAATAACCAGAAGAATAGCAAGAGAGGCAGGAGAGAGATGGCGCAATATCTCATAATGAACATCATCAGGTCCGACCGATGTACTACCAGACTGAAGAAGAGCAAGTTTGAATTCCATCAGTGTAAAGGGGCGATTATAATCATAGAGACAATCGGACCTAAAGGAAACAGGTGATCGCTCTGCCTGAGACTTGATGGCTAAGAAGGCAGGGGAAGAAACAGAAGTGCTAGAAGCACGATAAAAGCTGTGGACAAGAGCATCAGCAACTT